CGCTAATAATACCGTATATGGTGGTATCTTGCTCAATGTGGCCGTGTTTTAGAATTTAAACCACATTCAACAATACTGAATGCCTAGGTTTTCATTTGTTTAAAATGAGTACAGCTCCAGGACTTCGGTAAATCCCCTGCTACGTTTGTTGCACCGATTCTGTTCAATCTAGAGTAGCATATTGCCTGCTTTTTCCTGAAAGTGGAATGCCTGTTTTGTTAAAATTAAATATATTACAGATATTACAGTGCTTGTGAGTTATACTTGCTCCTCATAGGGTGTGAAAAGCATTTATACAAGTTTGCGTTTCGCTTGGATTATTGGAATTGTAAATAGCGAGATTTCCGTTGCAGGGTAAATGTTCTGACCATGAAATAAGCAGTTCCTTTAATGAGTACTTGTGCTGACTGATGCGGCTCCGAAGAAAAATGGACAAAACTCTTAACATTATCATGAAGAAAAGGCATGTTTTTCATTTGGAGAGGTTACTAATGACGATTGATGTCCATCTGCACCTATATTGATAAACTCATACTAAATTCCAGATGAAAATCAAAAATTCATATTGTACTTCATGAGTCAAAAAGTTGATTTGTGTTCAACATATGATTATTTTATGATTTGATAGTGCATAATTTTGAGGGCTCCGACAGCTTGGGGAGTCACTTGGATAGCTGTCTTATTTGGTTCATAGAGAGCAGATAATTTTGAAAAGCACTGTCACATGAAATAGACTAGTGGTCAAGGAGTTTATGATCCCAGAAATGTATTGTTTTTACTCCCGGGCATTTTTCAATTCTCAAAAATTTTTTAAAATAATTTCATTGCTGAATTTTCATGAAGATTTTTTGTGTTCGTGGCCCTTACTCTGAACTAAAATTATGAAAAGAAAGTAAAATATGATGGAATTCTAAATGCTACAAGTATCTTGAATCATTTCAGCCATTTTCACTCTCTCTGTGAAGCACAGATCTTGAATTCACACTGTGCGAGCTCACACAGCTAATGTTATGTCACTGTAGGGAAAAGCTGAGGGTGATATTAGCTAGCTAGCCGACTAACACTAGCACTAAAGAGCTACGATAGTTAACCTTTCCTGCCTGTAGCAAGCTACGTAGCTATCAAAGTCAGACTATCTTGCTGGTTAGTAACTGATTGTAGGCTACATATGTGACAGCAATGTTTTGTTAACTTGTAATAACTTTGCTCTAGAGCTGGGTAAAATTAGCATCGATGGAAGTTTATAATTGATACTTTTGAAATTAGAAGGACTTTTTCAAAAACTATTTTCTGTGATTTTATTTTTAATACTTTTTTAAAGATAATTTTTTGGGGGGATTTCCCCTTTATTAGTTAATATTCAGTGGAGATAGACCGGAAAGGTGGGATAAGAGTGGGAATGACGTACAGCAAATGGCCCAAGCCAGAATCGAACCCGGGCCATCACGGGAAGGACTTAGCCTTATGTGGTGCACGCGCTTAGGCTGATGTGCCACCGGAGCACCCCCTGTGATTTTATTTTAATTTGTTTTGGCAGCTGTCCCTGGAATATTCAGGGGCTGTAAGCTATATGTTACATGCTGATAAACACTGTGCAGTGGGTAATCCGAAAAAAAAGATTTTATACGGTGGTCCCCAACAAGGTATATTAGGACATTCAAAACAATCTGCATAATCATTCATAGCAGGAATACTCTTCTCCATCCCTGAACATAATTTATGGTCACACACACACACACACACACACGCGCGCGCGCGCGCGCGCAAACACGCACACACACTCACAATCATGTAATGCCATTACCATTTAATAAATATTGGCTAAAGGTTAGTCATCTCCCTCCTTAATACTATGTAGCTATTGTTTTGAGGTTTATAACAGTAGATTGAACTAATTAGTTTTATTGACTCATTAGTTTTTATGATTCATATGCTCTAAAATTCACCAGAATGCAGAGTCTTTAATCTCGATTATTTCTGGTGGAAGACCCTCAGACTCCTTGCTTAAAAACTGGTCTGACTGGCCCAATATTTTGCGCTATATTTACCGGCCTGAATGATTTTCCCAGTCCAGCCCTAACAGCATCTCAACGTCATTCTGTACCCTGAAAGAATACTACAGCTGTTACTACAAACACAAATGGTACATACTGTAAACATTTCAAAAGACAACTGGCCCATAGCAATGACTCTAGTGTGTTGCAATTTTTCGCATCATAAGGAAAACTACTCCTTGGCAGAAAACAGAAAAATAGGATTATTAGTCATTTGTTTACACACCTGAATACAGTTGAACATCACCATTTTCAATCTATATAATTTGTCATATAACATTCATCACACTTCTTTCAAAACATGACTGGTATTTCACCATGTGTGGTGAAGTGCACAGTATAGTTACTTGTATAACATGTATCTCTTATTTTTCAGTATGGCTTAGTGCTGTAATTGATATGTGCTGTAATGATATATTCAGTAATGACAACACCAGACAACTTAATCGTGGTTATAAATATCACCCCATAATTCACACAGAATAGTCCCTGTACACCAGTTTCTTGTCTCTGCCAACTTTCATATTTTACTATGGAATTAGTGGTTAAAAGATGGAAGGAATTAGAAAGAGACCTTAATTACGGCTTGCGTCTGAGGTTAATCAGAATTTAGGTGTATAATTAGTTGGCGGCCATGATGGTGTGTTGAACTGAACGGTGTGGGACTCGCATCACACAAAAAGTCACATGACCTTGGAGCACCCTCAACCCCAGCTCATACATAACTGTGAGTCAGAGAGTGATATTCATAAACCACACTTCAGGGAGCCTGTCGACTGCCTCTTACATCTCTGGAACATCAGCTATCAAAGCAGCAGAGATCTGCTCAGCACTGGGTGCCCTCGTTTTGAGTAACCGAGTGGAATAAAGGGAGAATAAGAGTTAACTGAGTAGTATAAGGAGGGTCATATGAGTAATAATGTGTGATGAACGTGAATAAAGGGGCAGTAATGGAGTGGAGGAGCGCAAAGAGGATAAAGTTCGTATGAACGGGGAATGCAGACAGCACAGAGGTTCACTAGTAGGTGAGGCCGTATACAAAATGGAGGACATTGCAAAAGAATTTGATTTGAATATTGAGAATTTTCTTCTTCTCTGTGTCCTGGCATGCACAAAGAGTCTGAGCTCATCTTCATGTGAAAAAAAAAACCAAAAAATAAACAAAACACGGTCCAGTGGGGACTGGCCTTTGTGACTGGTGAAAGAGGATGAGTTTTCAATGAATTTTACACAGTCCTATTCCACCTTCCTGATTCTACCATCTTTCTCTCCTTCATTTTTCCTATATAGAACAGCAGAATAAAGGCAGCCACATCACTGGGAGATGTGTATGGGTGTGTGTGAGTGTGTGTGAGAGAAACAGAGAGAGAGAGAGGTGGGCTGGGTTGCATATTATTAATATGACATGATGGGAGGGCACTTTAGTTCCCCAGCAGAAGACGGGCTGGCGCGAGGGGCTACGGGCGACATGATTGAGCGTGAGAAGGAGAATGTCTTTTTCAGCTGACAGATGGCAGCGGTGGAAATGAATATACGGCCGCGCTCGTTCGTCTTCCAAAATACGAGGTGCCGCCACAACGGGGCATAACTCACGGGGAAAGCCAGAGGAGTTTGGTGGAAGAGAGAGACGACGGGGCTTCAGAGGCCATTACAGAGCAGCCGACTCAGTTCCTCGAAAAAAGGGAAAAATTGCTTCCTGTCCATCACACCACATCTATCTCTGGCTGATTGAAACAGATTTGTGCATCATCTTGAGAGAGGCAACAGCTATTTGAGCTACCTAAGAGAAATGGTTATGTCAGAACAGATTTTACACTGGTATACTGTATGAACACAAGTAAGTACATGAACACATACATGTGCTTCCCACCCATAATAGATAAAAACAAGAGCAATCCGAGATTTCTGATCTCCGCCAAGGGATGATGTTGATATAAATGCAAGATCTTTCTCTTTGGAAGATTTCAGGACCACCCATGTGACAAGTTTTAATGGGATTTTTGTATGTTTGAAGCATCCATTCTCCAAAGCCGTCATCAAAGTACAGAGCGATCACATGATCTACCTCTGGTGAAAATTTCATGAAGATCCGTCAAGTAGTTTCCGAGAAATGCCACTAAAATTGTAAATACAGATCCGGATCCAGAATCCAGATCCGGATCCGGATCATCAAAAAATTTAAATGGAGTCGTCCCTGGTCCAAGATCTACCTCTGGTGAAAATTTCATGAGGATCCGTCCAGTAGTGTCTGAGAAATGCTACTACGATCGCAAATACAGATCCGGATCCAGAATCCTGATCCGGATCCGGATCATCAAAAAATTTTAATGGAGTCGTCCCTGGCCCAAGATCTGCCTCTGGTGAAAATTTCATGAAGATCCGTCCAGTAGTTTCAGACAGACAGACAAATAAATAAATAAATAAATAAACCGACTCGATCGCATTATCTCCTTGGCGGAGATAAAAAAGTATGTTTCATTTATTGTATTCTGATACAGCGAGCAATATCTGCAAGCCTCTTCTGGCCTTGCTAAAGTAAATTTTCATATGAAGATGTAAAAACACTTGTTCATTAATACAGGTGAAAACAGAGAATGCACATGTGACAGTTGATGGGTCCTGTCACTAGAAATGCCTCCTAAGAAGTACGCGCCGTGGCTACCTTGCCAATGAGCCTGGCTCTTTGGCGATGTGGTCAGCGCGTTTGACTCTTACCCGGGAGTCTGGGGTTCAATTCCTCGCCCGGGCCCTCCTTTGGCCTGCCACATCCACATTCTGGCGTAATTGGCAGGATTCAGGGAATCCTAATGGATGGCAGCAAGGGTAAAGCATGGAGCGTGAGGACACATCCCCGAAAGAGGGCGAGAGATGTGACAGTTGCTTGGTCCCGTCACTAAAAATGCCTCCTAAGAAGTACACGCTGTGGCTACCTTGCCAATGAGCCTGGCTCTTTTGCGATGTGGTCAACGCATGTGACTCTTATCCGGGAATCTGGGGTTCAATTCCCCGCGGGAGCCCTTTTTCGGCCTGCCACACACAGAAACAATTACATAGGTACACATACCGCACATTCACGCTCGCATATAGCTTGTGACATACTATATGCTACATAGACATGCAGACACATGCGCACTAAACTGAACAACCGTGGACAAAAAAAAAAAGAACACACACACGCACGCACACAGAGAAGTCCTATTTCCCTGCTGGTGCCATAAAAGGCAGAGTTGTGAGATAGGGAATGATTCTCGCAGGAGGACAGACAGAATACCGATCCTCAGCCAGCTGTTTCTCTCTCCCTCTTCCTCTCTCGTTTGGCTGTCTTTATCTCAATTTTTTCAAATTTTGGGTGCTTTTACTGGTAAAACTTTCACTGTTTTACCAAAGTAAGAGTTATAAAGAGATGGACAAAGATCTATGATGAAACAAAAATTTCCCCTTCTCTCTTTCTCACACACACTCTCGCCCACGCATGCACACACACACACACACAAGCACATGTCTTTCTCAGGACAGTGAATTTCAGCTTTTACAGACCATGATCAGTGGAGAGTGAGACGAATGTTTAGGCTCTGCATTTACTCATTATCGCTGGCTGTCCTACATGCTCCATATTTCACCGGCAACATGAATGCGGGTGAAGTATTGAGAAAGATATCGATGTCTTCCATTTTCCAGCTCCCTGCTTTAGCACTGTGTGGCCTGTAAGGTATGAAATTGCAACTGGCTGTTTGAATCAGTGAAGCACAAGCACCTCAGTAAGCACTGCTAATTGCATGTGCGGTAAAGAGGAACGGTCACAAACTGTGTAGAAAAAGTGAAAGAGAGCCAAAAAAAGGGGGTGTAAAATGCAGTAATTTCAAGCTGGGCTAGCTGCAGCCAAAGCCTCGCATCTCCTTTCACAGTCAGCATACCTTTTTATTGCCGAGGCTTGGCCGCGTGGCATTGGATATGCTGTTTTACTGGGCAGGCTCTCGACTTTACTACTGTGTCTGTTCTAAGTGACATATTCCTCAACTGCATGGATAGGCACGGTGGCACATTGCTTGTCTTCACTGTGTTTACTTGTGGATAAAGTGGTTCTGGAGGACAATTGCTGCACACAGAACAGAGAGAGCAAGCGAGAGAAAGACAGATATAAAATAGTGAAAATAAAACCTGCCAGTAACACAGTTCAAGCTCCCTATTTGCTCTTGAGCACTTTTCGACGGACAAAAACACAGAAATATATAATAACGACATAAGTTAATTTCATCACAAATTTCTGCTTTTTGTGTTCCAGGTTTACTATGTACTGTAAAACAAATAAAAGATAAAATAACTTGTAAAATAGATTCTATTGCTCATTGAATACATTGAAATTTTGGCTCAAGTAATGTGATGTACAAGATGAAAACGACAAGAAAAGCAATGTCTAACCTGAATTTCAATAATGATTATCAGAGGTAATATCTATTCTTATGCAAAGTAGAGATAGAGTCATCAATGCCAGTTAATAAATTTTTCAATGTGAAGTTGACTCTCTTTCAGTTTCTCTGCCATTGAAATTCAATTGGAGACTTCTAATGAGGAATCAGTGGAGCAACACATAAAACAACTCCACTGTTCTGTGGCCATTCACTTTTAGAGCTCTAATTTCTTGGCGCAGCGCAGGCTGGCGCAGCCCACGCAGTGGTAATTTCGTCCGGTGCAGCCTGCGCAGTGGTAATTTTGTGCGGTGCAACACCGTGCGCAGCTACTTTGGCAATTTGGTTGACGGACGTGCGCCAAGATGGGTGTGGCAGCGTAGTATAGGGAGGTGTCACATATTCATCATGACACAGTGACAATTTCGTGGATAAAGGCTCCGCTGAAAGTGCGCAGAGAGCTCGCCAGCTCCAACCTGGTTTACTTTTTGTGCAGTGGTAATGTCATCAGTGGTAATGTCGTCACACGTCACCGAAACCTCACAGGCAGGTTTCCAGAATGTCAGGCACATTTCAATGCAATAAATTATTACAGCAGCCACTATTTAATGTAACTATCTGAATCAGGACATAAATTATAGTATCTATATCGATTGTCCTGATGTCAGATCAAAGGCGGTTGGCACGCGTAATGGAAACTCCACTTGGCTTAATCAACGCAGCTGAATCTGTGAAGCAAACTAACAACTTCACTTCTTTCTCGGCAAACCACAAACTGCCTCGGAATCAGGCAGTGCGTATATATATATATATATATATATATATATATATATATATACATAGCTTGCATTCTATGCTCAGTAAAGCCGCTTGCACACTGGGCGCGAAACGAATTTTTCGATCGACTGATTACATTCAAAGTCAATGCAAAGACGAATACATGTGTGTATTCGCGTCTTTGCATTGACTTTGAATGTATCTGCCGTCCTTGAAAAAATTCATTTCGCGTCCAGTGTGCAAGCGGCTTAATACTACTATTATTGTCACTTAGGTTTTATCATTTTTAGTGGGGGAAAGGAATACAGCCTAATTGCTATGATCTCGTACTCAGTTAAGATCGCATATTGAAAATAAATGTGTAACGTATCTTGCATTGTTGTCCATGCATGTTAATCTCAAAATTTTAAGCAGCAACAGGGTGTAATAATAGGAACACGCTATCCATCGTTTCTCTTCCCAATGATGCAGGCAGAAGAAATAAATGAGCAACCGTCGTATTTCATTCCAACTTCATAAGTTTGAATGATCTGATGTAGTTTCGTTTTGAAATTCCATTCAAGTTCGCTAATGGTAATAATTCGCGAATGCCCTAGTTCGCCAGCTAACTCATATTCGTAATGCTTAATATAGACGTAAGCGGTGCAGAAAACATGCCTGAAGCAGCAGAGTAAAATGCAACATTAACGCATCATGCAGATACAGGACAGAGGCTTCTTTATTCCAATATTTAAAGGTGAGGAGAGGAGCTCATTTGATTGGTGAAGATTTGACTCCGCTGTGTTAAACCCACTCACGCCTTCTGTCCTCCCTCTTTGCCACTTGTGCTGGCAGGAGGGACAGAGGCGGGACAGAGGAGTACTTGTGCCGGGCACGAAATTGCAAAATACGCCTGGATACACCCCGTTGGCGCGGCGCTCCCCCCATTCGCGGCGCCTGCGCCTGGTTAACGAATTTAGAGCCCTTAGACATCCCTAGGTTTGCATCAACTGAAAATTCAACTTGTTAAAAGGGCATCTTTTACGTGCAATTTAAAATTTCTTGTAACACATAACTTGAACTTAGTTCACGTGAAATGAGTGTGTCTGCATAATTAATTGTGCTTCAGCATTCTGTACCTACTAGATTCAACAAGTGTATATTTATTAAGGCTCTTACTTTTCAAACAGAATTTTTCGAACAATACTTGAAGTTAGGAAAAACTATAATTTTTATGACCGTTGATGTATTCCTTCTCATCTGTCATGATTACACAAAGATTGGAAATATATCTGTAAGTAACAAGCTTCTGCCCAAGAGTCAATGACTGAAGTAGGTCACTACCATAACAGCAAGTGAACTATGTAAATTAGGAATCTAACTTTGCAAATATATCTTAAAATGAAGTGAATTATGTTACATTACCTCCTATTGATCAGAAGAGGATACTTTGACGTAACTAATGTTTTTCTGTAACATCTCAGCAGATGAAGCATGATCCACAATGGTTTGCGGCCTGACCAAGTATCTACAATCAGCAAAGGAAGGTGTGTGTGTGTCTCTAGATACCGTTAATTTATTTATACGAACTATATCATATTTTGAAGTTTAATCAACTTCGACACTCTAAGTTTAATCATTTAGATAACATCTGAGGCATCTCAAACAAATTGTCAAATTTTCAAATACGTGTGATTAACGTATTTTTTTATGCCTGGATTATTCATTATGTCTTTAGAATAATGTAGAAAGCTAATATTCCACACTTAATGAGTATTTTGAAGGAAGCAATCGTTTATTTAACTAATTAGAACATAACAGATGGTTACGTGAAATTTCCTGCGAAAAGAGGCATCGATATTACAAGAGTCAAAATAAGTACAAACCTGCAACGACTTTTATAACAAACTTGCACTGGTAATGTCTGTGTCTGCACTGATTTTAAATAAAATATGACTCATATGCTGTTGCAATATTTTATTTTATTAAATAGGCATGATATCTTCTTATTGGCATAACCTGAACATGTTATGGATGGAAAATGATTATTTTAATGATAGTTGAAAAAAATATGCTAAAAATGCTCAAGACCAAATAAGGAGCCTTCATTATTTTCATAGTCAGCCATACTTTTGACATCAGAGAACCTAAAATGATAACTGAAGTGGTTGGAACATACAGTACTTTTGGAGGGAATAACAGCTGAGTTGAGATTGTGTCCTATCAACTGCCAGAATTCAGAGTAGCATGATTTTATCTTGAGTGGATATATCCTCCAGGTGAGCCATAATCCAGAAAGACGTAGTGCCTTTGGATGCAGACACAAGTAAATGAATCGACTAAACCAAGATTACCGCTCTGTCTGCCCCAACACTGGAAACTGCCCACATTTTAGAGAATGTTCCAGAAACTCCACGGTTGCCCACTGGTTTCAAAACTGAAGTTCAGTTATTTCACTCACCAGGTATGAAAATAATAGACACGTTGATTTCAAAAGAGTCATCATTGGCCCCAGAATGACAGGATTGTGGGCGTGAGCGCGAGCTGCATAATGTTCTTCCATTATTCTCACTCCATTGTTCAGCTAAATATAACCCTGACACTAGACTCATTAGTGGGTCATCACAAGCTTCTATAAATTGTGTTAGACTACATTATTACCAAAGGGTCTTTATCATACTATGTTCTGCAGCCTCCTACTGCAAATTAGGTATCTGTGTGCTGCAGCTTTTGAATATTGTTTGTTTATCAGTCTTATATTCACTTCATAAAAAAAAGTACACACGCACGAAGGTATGTTGATAACACAAATGGCTCAGCAAGAGAATAGGATGAAAAGATAACAAGCCTGAGAG